AAGTGGCAGCTAGACCATCATCTTACCGAGGCTACGCATCGGCCCTTCAGTTGAAAGCACAAATCCACTTTCCGTCTCTGTAGTGTAGCCTAAAAGAAGCAGAAGTCCAAGCTCCATGCTTCATTCTGTCTTGTCAGCTTCTTTTAACATTTCAGGTGAAAAAAACTCAATGCCCTCACTCTTGTGCTGCAAGAACGTCAGAGCTGGTGCTGATTTGCAGTCCTGCAGCCCCCAAACTGGCCTGTGCAGGCTCGTGTTCTTCAGTTCCCCGTAAAATGTGATGTCTAGCTGCTGTCCTTATGCACTTACCTGGAAACCCTACTTTGAAGAGCTTTGGCCTGGTGATTCTCTCCTGGCCTGTGGAGGGCAGGGGCTGTTTTGGACATGCATTTCCCTTTCCTGTGCTTGCATGTCAGTGGTGCTCAGGGTTGGCAGCAATGGTGGCGTGCATTGCCAGAGCTTTTGTCCTTGAGTAACTGGAAACCCATTGGTGTCATTTGCTTGTGATGTGGATCACAAGTTTAGACAGTGGACACTTCGATGCCCGGCCACTGTCAGATTCCTGGGAGTAAATGCTGTGGAGATTTGCCAGTGAGTAAGACAGCCCTGCCATCGTGCGTTTTGGTTTAAGGGAGAGAACATCTACATAGACCAGAGAAATGAATGGTGTGAAGAAGCAGGGCCCAGAGTGGAGAACGACTGTTAGTGGCTAAGAATGGGAGCAGCCAGTCCCAATTCCAGCTGGGAAGTCCTGACTGTTCAACCCTGCGTGTGAATGGCGGGGAGTGGGGAGGGGCTGCATTTACCGTCACACTAGAGCAGCTTTTGTGGGAACGTGGTTCCAGCTGTGCTGCCAAGCTAAACCTTACACAAATCAAACCGTAAGTATAGGACAGTGGTTTTCTTTGTGAGCATTGACTCTGAACACATCCCCCGCCCCACCCCAATGGTCAGTCCAGTGCCAGTGCTAGCATGCTTGACTCCTTGTTCACCTTTGGCGCTAGAATGTTTGAGCCCTTCATGTGAACTTCCTAGGTCATCAGGTGAGAAGTGTTCATTAGAAGACTCAGCCGTGGGGCTGGGGACAGACAGCATGCATAGGCCCTGGCTTCCATCCCGTGCCATGGAGGAAACCCATGTGTATGTGACCTTCATGCTGATCTGGAGGTCAGCCCAAGGTTACTGTATTTTAGAAAAAGATGTTAACACCTAGGTACCCAGCTGTTTGCCTGTGCGGGCTGTAACTCTACAGGCTCCCAGGGACTGGGGTGCATGAATGTTTCAGGGTAAGTATCCAGAGAATATTAGAAGCTACAGAAATGTCTTTCTGGAACTTGTCAACAATTCTGGTAGGTAAATTCCTTATCGCAGAACTGATTTGGTGGCATGATACAGAAAAAATTGACTTACTATGGGCTGGCGAGATAGCTTAGTAGACTAAAGCGCCTGGTTAGGCACGCTTAGGCAAGTGCCGGGACTGTGATTTGATCCCTGGCACCACATGCTGCACCAGCCCTACTCCCTGGGTGGGCGGAGCCGGCCAGGTCTGGGCACAGTGGCACATACCTGTGGTCCCAGCACAGGGGAGGCTGAAAGCAAGAGGATCCTACAAGTCTGAGCTGTGTAGTGAGATCCTGCAACAACCAAATACATTTAAAAAAAAAAAATTGACTTACTGTGACAGAGAAGATGAACACTAAAAAATGGTCTTCGTTGCATTTCTCAAGACCTTTAGGTAAAGGGAGAGTAGCATGTGACTTTTGTTAGAAATCTAGACGCTGTGGTGTGTGGTGACGCTTTTGGAGATGGAGGTAGGAGGTCACAAGTTTGAGCCCACACTGGACAATTTAGTTACTTACAGGAGACCCTGTTTCAAAATTTAAAAAGGTTTAGGGATGTTGCTATTTTAATCCTAATACTTGCTTTATTCTGAATTAGTATGGATTGCATGTCATAATTGTTTTTTAATTCTGTCTCACAGTGTCAAACAGCCTGTACGTGTGTGCTTGTCCTGCCCCTCCCTCTCCTGTGATGTGAACCCAACACTGTCTTAACACTGCCTGCAGTCACCCCGCAGGAAGCACAACACATCCAAAACCCCCAAATTAAAAAATTCATGTCCATGTACCTTGGGTGAAGAGGTGCAGTGGGGAAAGGCCTGGGAGACTGCTTAGGAAACCATTTCGAGAAAAATTACCGTGTATGCTCTTTTCTCTAGCCTAATCCTGAGAAGCTACAGACAGAATACCCTGTACAGCTTAAATTTTACTCTACTTTATTATCTAATACATGGCTAACTATGTAACACATGCGAAGACACTAGAAAGTTGAGGGTAACTTTCTTCTGTATTTTAAAACAGAAGAAAAGAGTTTAATACTGCCCTTGGCAGAGTGAATGCAGGACCTGATTTGTTTCCAGTAGGAGGTCAGCAAGTTAGGAGAGAAGATGGAAGGGAGGAGCCCTGGTTTAATCCCAGCAGATCCCACCGCCCAGGCCACAGAAGGGTGTGAGCGTGAGCTCACTGCGCTGCTGAGGTTTGGTAGGAATTGGCTTCGTATCCACAGCCAGTCCAAACTTGACTAATAGCATTTTCAACAAAAAGCTTACCCTTTACTTTCTCTAAAACTGGTCCACTGTAGTTACTTCTATAAATCTTCTAGTGAAATATTAAGATCCTAATTATCACCTAGCATCTGGGCACCGGGCCCTGGGTTCAGGTCCGGATTGTGGGGGGAAAATATTCTGATTACTCTGGATTGGCCTCCTTATCTACTATTTTACAAAAGTATTTACCTTAAAATAGAAACTTACGATAAAGAAATTGTCCAGAGCTCTTGCACTAGACTAAGTGCACACTCGATTTCAGGGGGCACAAAAAGGATTTTTTCGTGTTCCTAGCTCACCACCAAGGCCTTTCATCTGCTCTTGTACAACAATCTACAAAGGCTCATTCAACTTGTGCACATAGTACCCCCTCAAACACACACACACACACACACACACACACACACACACACACACGCACACTGTTGATCCATTAGGTTTGTTTGGGAACTGCTTATACTGTGTGTGTTGTGGTTTCAAATTACTGTTTGCTCTTTTAACTTCTTGGAAGGATAAACAGTGTGGAAACAAAACCTGAAGCAAAAGAAACCCTCATCTGGCCTACTAGTTATAGTTCTTCTTATTCAGAGTCACACATTTATTTTTTAAGATTGACAAAAGAAAAAAAAAACTAATATACTTACATGTTATATTTTACCGTGACAGTATATTTTAACATTTATACTAATGTTGGTGTATTTTTATTTTTTCTACTCACAGTTCGAATGTTATAACAGTCAGGCCTCCACTTACAACTAACACCAACCAGTTTCCTAAGCACCAAATGAATGGGAAGCTAAACAGATCCAACTGAAGGTTTTCTGGGTGGAAACTCAGGGCTCTAAAGTGTTTCTCTCCCCTTTACCTCTCCTAGCCACAGCCTCAAACCCACACTCACAGTACACACAATGAACAACACACTTGCACCTTAAAAGGCAGAAAATGGACAATTTGCTTTAAATCAAGTAGCAACAAAGGTGGTCAGGTATCCTATTGCTTCATTCCTCTATATTGGGTAAGAGTTGCTTTTAATCTCTCCAGCCGTCAGATAGGGGACTGTGGCTGACAACTACCTGCACATGCTCCGAGCAAGGCAGATGTGTGGATGCTGCCATGGACGCTAATGTCATGGCTGAAAACATTTACATAAAATTTCAGAAATAACTACTTAGAACCGCGGGGGTGGGGGGACAATGCCCTTGTAACTGTCAAGGCCTAATTACCGTTTACTGTATTTAAGGACAACTTACTACCTACTTAAATTTCTTAACCTGCAAAAATAAAATATACTGTCAGTTCAAATGTTGTTTGAAAATTACAGGAACGTGATACTTGCATTTTGCCAACAGTGTTTGATGCAAAACTGGATTCACAGTGACAGCAATGATTCTGCTGATTTTATTTGTTTATTCTTTCTGCTTGGAATAAACCACAGCCGAACAGTTTCTCTCAGCTCTAGCTGTTGCTAGAGAGTGGATTGGTGTGGACTGGCTGTTTCTTTCTGCAGTTTCCAATTTTAAGAGGCAAACAACCTATGAACACTGAACATCTGATCTCATCAGATAAGTTTTAAGAAGGATAAAGATGAATAGTTTTAAGTAAATTTCAGTCTACGTCATAAAAAAAAAAATAAAAGCAGAAAGAAGGGAGGAAGGAGAGCCTTGGACAGGGATTTAAGGTTGGTCAGTCACCTCAGCCCTGGGGGCGGGGGCTGGTTTCCCTGAGGGGAGGGCCTATGAGGTCAGCTTAGGAAACACGACTGTAAAGTATTCTTTAGAGTGCATCCTGACATCTAATGCAGTTTGGTTGGAAAGCTTTATTGAGTGATTCCCAAGGACAGATTCAAATACAAAACACTCAAGAGTGGAAAAGATGGAGAATTTCACATACAGAGGAGGAATTGGGAAAGGAAATGGAGATGTGCAGATAGATAGCCCTGGGAGAGAGGAGAGCAGGCTTCGAGGAGGACAGAAAAGACATGCGGCCAGGGCTTGCCTGCACCGCCCAGGCTGCACCAGGGACACTCGCGCCCTGACAGGCTTGGCTTGACTCACTCTGGAAGCAAGGGTCGCGCGGCCCAGGGGCTCTGCCTTCTACAGTAACAGCAGACTGCTGGGCTGCCTTCAGTACCCCCACCCCTCCACGCACACACACACACACACACACACACACACACCATTTTTGTCTCCTTTGACAGCTGACAGGCACACTTGGGGGATCTAGATGCGTGGAAGCTCTTTGCTGGCAAGCGCAAGTTTAGGTGAGATGAAGGTAATGAGCCGCATGTTATCAGTACTGCAGGTGAGAAATGAATTGTACATTTGCAGCCTTTGGTCCGACCCACCAAGACACAAACTCAGAGTTGTGCTTTGCTTCACTGATCTTTTAATTAACTACAATACAGAAAACTAACTCCAAATAAGCCTGGCCCATTCGGTCAGCATGCCCTACCAACCTGAGGGATGTGGTGGCTGACAGATTGGGGGGTTGCAGTCAGGACCAGGCTCAGTCACCCACGTAGCCTATAGAAGGCGGGCAAGGTGAGGAGATCAGGCTTACAAAGGCAGTGATGTAACAGCACTTTGGGGATGGACCTGGGGAAGCGACAAAGAAAATAAACTGACGTAGAGGATCAGGGCATCCAGCTCAGCTTCTTCAAGCTGCAAAGTGCAGAATGAAGGTTTCTAGGATTATCCTAAGACTCAAGATGCCTGACACACAGCCAACAGCAAAAACGCATGAATCCATTCCCTTTCCTCCAAGAGGGCTAGTGTGGCAGTGGATATCAACTAGATGGAAGAGATACTGGGAGATGACAATAAATGTGGCTAAAATGTGGATGTGAGGAACTTAAGGGGGAAACAGCCTAAGGAAAAGCTGAGATTTCAACTTTAAAAGTCAATCTTAGGTAAAGAAGGTAACACTGAAGTTTATGACAGGAACGACAACGAAACAGATTAAAGCGCCCCTGACAGAACCAGGAATGGATCTGCTTGATGTTCCACTTCTTTTATTCTTCCTGGATCTTTCCAAGGAGAGATGCCTAGCCTCTGAGTGCTGAGAGATTTTTGCTTAAAAACTTCCTCACAAGTTACAGCTTCAGGGCCCACAAAAACAGGCTGAAGTCAGAAGGCAATTCCTGCGGGTTAACAGTGGACAGTGAAGACCAAGTTGGAGGAACTCCAAGACTGTCTTCAAAGGAAAAGGCAGCCGGGAAGCAGAGAGAAGGCCCTTGGGCCAGGCCACTGAGGGAAGATCTGGGCCGGGGGATGGGCCGCCCAACTTGGCCCCTTAAAATGACCTTTTTTGAGATAAGATCTCGCTATATTATCTTCCCTGGCTCCACCTCCAGGGGTCACACAATTCTCCTGTCTCAGCCTCCCTAGTGGACAGCACTGGAGGCATTGCGCCATGCCTCCGCCTAGAAAATGGCTTTTTCCTGAGACCACATGCCCAGTTGGCGTCCGGAAAGCAGGAGTTCGGAGTAGGCTGAGGTGTGCACAGGCCATCCGAGGACGCTTTGGTAGGCGAACCCGAGGGGTGCCATTCCCTGCCTCGGAGGGTGCTTTGGCCCGGTGGACACTACAGGGGCCTGGCGGAGGTGGAACCTGATCATTGGCTGGGGTCGGGCTGGGGACGGGCTGGGGCCGGCGACACTGCGCTTCGCTACCGGCGGCTGGTGACAGTGACAGAGTTCGCGCGCGAGCTTCGGGGAGTGGAGGGACCCCGAGTGGAGGGACGCGGCCGGGGCGGGAAAGCCCTGCCCGGCGCGGGACTGAGGCAGGGGTGGCGAGGACCCCGTCTGCAGAGACCACCCCACCCGGCCGGCGGCTGCTGTTCGCGGGGCCGGTTTGCCCGTGTCGCCTGGACGATTGGCTTCTCCCCGCCTGGCATCATAGGTCCTTTGAAAAACGTACGAAATAAAAAGATGCCATTACATCGATTTGTTTCCTTCGATGAAGAGTGGGAGGGCCCTCCGCAGCCTGCGTCCGTCCTCCCAGCAGGAACCGGGGCCAGCGTTTCTCCCTTCACTAAAGCGAAAGGCCGGGTCACTGCCATGGAAGTTGAAGAGCGCGGCAAAGCCGCCCAGGTCGGACCGGGAGGAGCAGGCGGGTGGGCGGCAGCGCGGCCGGGGCCGGAGCGGCGGGGGCGCGCGCGTGTGCGTGGGGGCGC